GGGGTACATGTAAAGAACATGCAGGATTGTTGCATAGGTACATACATGGCAATGTGGTTTGCTGCCTCCATCTCCATCACCTATATCTGGCATTTCTCCCCATGTTATTCCTCCCCAACTCCCCACCCCCACTGTCCCTCCCCTAGTCCCCCCCAACAGACCTCAGTGTATGATGGAGAGCAACTATTTTTAAAGGCAGGCTGCCTGCAGAGAGGGAGTTCAGCAAGTCAAGACTTCATGGAAGAGTCTGCAGTCCTGATTGATTTCAACGAGTCCAAGAAGCAAGGGAAGGAGAAGTAGGGACCATCACGGGAAGATGGATCCGAGTGACTCTTCCTCATGGTGAGCTGAGTCTTTAAAAGCAATTGCCAGATGACCTCTAGAAGTTTCTTCTAGAATTATCATTCAGGGTTCTGTGGCTCCTGAATGAAAACATCTCATTGGCAATAGCATCCATCCTAGCTCCACAACTTCCCGGTGTCTGCACTGTCTAAAAAGAAAACATACATGGGGGAGAGCAATGTCTCCTAATAGTTACAACCATTGGTTAAAAGAATTTGGGAGACCTGCCTCTGGGAAGGTAACCATTGCCAGAGACAATTTTCTGGAACTTATTGATAATGCAGATCTTTATAATTGGAGCTAACCCCAGGGTTGTCTTGGCCATTTCTTCTATACATTCCACCCAGGATTGGGGGTGTAGAGTTCCTCTACAGCAAGGGTCTCACCTAGGAGCAGAAGACATATGACAAGGTCTCAAGACACTTAATTGTCACAACTGGGTAGCGTCTAGTGAGTAGAGGCCAGAGATGCTGCTCAACACTCTCCTTTGTTTGGAGGTACAGGACAGCCTCCAAATAAAGAACTGTCTAGCCCTAAATGTGAGTAAGTATCTAGGTTGAGAAATCCTGCTTTAAAGAAAGAACCCGGTGGAGAGAGCCGAGCACACCTGGAGGGAGGATATCCTGGTGGAATACACCAGGTATATCTTGGTAGGTGGGGAGGGCTTTGGAGCGGTGTGGCAGACACCCGTGGGTGGCCATTGCAACCCATGTCCACAGTCATCTTCGTAGCCACCTTCAAGTTATAGGTAACCATGTGACATTTCTGAGCAATAAAATGGAAGAGAATTTGCCGGATGCAGCTTCCAATAAAATCACTGTGTTCTTGACCTTTGGGTATCTTTTCCCTTTCTGTTCTTCCTGCTTGGATTGTGAACCAGCCATCTGGAGGTACAGTGGCTGCCTTCAGGGCCATGAGTACTCAAATCAACAGCCAAAGAGGGTGGAGTCAAAAGCCAAAGCCAGAATGATCTGTGAACCCAGGGGAATGTCTGACAATGTCTGAAGACTTATGGTTGTCACTGGGAGAGAAGGGCTAGTGGCATCTACTGGGTAGAGACCAGGGATGCTGCTCTGTACCCTACCGTGCATGAATCCAGGGTTGCCTGTCTGAGGATCATTTGTAGTAGGGGCTTAGTGGGGTGAACAGTTGTTTAAGCTCCTGTGAGCTGGGTTTCCTGTTATTTGTGGCTGAGTTAATTTCAAGTTGCTACAGCAGGAGAAGTTCTTTGATTCGAGCTTGTTACAGGGCTATCTCCAGACAATGCCTCGTTTAGATTACTTTTACTGGCACTTTCCATGGTGCTATTGGGTTTCCAGACCCATCCTTGAAGCAGAGAGAGTATAACCATTCCTTTGCTTCTTTTGCCAGAAGATGCCAACACCAACGGTCCCCTCCACCCACGTCACCAGTGGGTTCGGCTGGGTCCAAGATCACAGGCCTGAATGAGAAGGCAGAAGGCATTAGGAGATTCTAAAAACCAGTGACCTCATAACATGGGGCCCATAATACTTTCAGCAATAACACAATATGTCCTCACAGCTTAGATGTCAGCAACTCAAATATACTAATAGGGTTCAAAGTAACTTCCTAGAGGCTGCATGCAGTGACTCATGGCTGCAATCCTAGCACTTTGGGAGGCTGAAGTAGGAGAATCACTTGAGGGCCAGGAGTCCGAGACCAGCCTGGCCAACATGGCGAAACCCCATTTCTACTAAAAATTTAAAAATTAGCTGGGTGTGGTGGTACACACCTGTAGTCCAAGCTACTTGGGAGGCTGAGGCAGGAGAATCAGCTTGGGCCTGGGAGGCAGAGATTGCAGTGAGCTGAGATGGTGCCACTGTCCTCTAGCCTGGGTGACAGAGTGAGACTCTGTCTCCAAAAAAAAACAAAAATGAAAACCAAAGTAACTTCCTAGAATTAAATTGTATTTTCTGAAAGTGTTTTGAAAGCTGTTAATTGCTATACTCATGAAGCCATAATGAAGGCATTATCAAAATATCTCCTTTATGCTATGTCAACTAAAATATGATGCATAATTTAATCAAATACAATGTTGCCAAGAACCCAGGGTAGGCAACCCACCGGGGCTCTCCTTCTCTCTTCTCCTCTATGCTTTTTCAATGATCCTTTATTTACTCTCTTTCCTTTCCTCTGGTGTCCATCATTTTTGTCCCTTGCCAGTGGCCCTAAACAGATGGATAAAATTTCTTGCTATTCTTGAAGGTCTGAAAGAGTATATAAACCCTAATCCAATAAAAACCCTGCAGGATAAACCAGCCCATGAATGATAGCATTAATTCTCAGGGACACACTTCCAACTCTAACACCTCTTAAATGAAAGCAACTCAGGGACCTGGTGCCTTGAACCTTCCTTCCCTGCTTTTTCTAAGCAGTATTTTCTCCTGCCTCCCTAGATTTTATCCCTGGAGACTGTGAGAGGTTCTGTTGGCTAGCACTTTCCCCCTTTCATGCAATGAATAAATCGTGACCCCAGGAGAGGAAAATCCAGGTCGCAGAGACAGTGTTAAAGGGAATTAGATTAAGAAAAGGATGGGGCCAGAGTGAGCGCACCTGGCTTTCAGCAGCTGGCTCAGTAGGAATTTCCTCACAGTCTCGTCTTCAAAGTTGTAGTTGACCTTCCAGAAGATACAGAGCTGCTGGTATTGTGTGACCAGCTCCAGGACTGTCCGGAAACCCTCTGCAGTGTTAAAATCCGGCACGCCACACCCTTGCTCCCAGGCATAAACAGTGAGCAGCTCCAAGGCATACTTTGGGGGCAAAGACCCCTTTGGCTTCAGTTTCCTTTCACACTAGGGAAGAGTGGGAACATCAGATGAACTGGTTAGGCTAGGAGCTCAGTGAGAGCCACGCAGGGGCCACAGCAGGGCAACTGAGTCACAATGTCATGCTGGTGTGCTCACACTCTGCACTTGGATGTCTAAACCATTCAGCCCTACAGGAGTCCACCTAGCAGCTGGTAGGCAGCACACATGAGTTTCTTTGTCGTGCTTTTGACCATATATGGCTTCCTAGGACAATAGTATATCTACAGTTTACTAGAAAGCCACTGCATGCTAAGTATGGGTCCAGGCATTTTACCCATATCATTCCCAAGCCTCCCCACAATGCAGGCATCATGACCTCCACTTTAGATGGAGACTTTGAGGCTGCGGAAGTGGAGTGATTCACTCAATCTCACACCACGGCCCTGCATCTTCTGATGCACCATGCCAACCCTCTGATTTTCAGAGATGGGAACCACAGAGTTTGGTCTTAGTTTCACGTTTCAGGCAACTGGACACAGAAAGGAGGCATCTCAGGAAGAGCTGATATCGTGGCTGATGTTTGCTGTCATGAGGATATTCAGAAGCTATCTTGTGTGCAAGTGCACGGAGGCTGAACAATATAGAAAATGCAGCCCCAGGCTGGGCACAGTGGCTCACGCCCGTAATCCCAGAGCTTTGGGAGGCCGAGGTGGGCAGATCACCTGAAGTCGGGAGTTTGAGACCAGCCTGATCAACATGGAGAAACCCCATCTCTACTAAAACACAAAAATTAGCCAGGCGTGGTGTCAGATGCCTGTAATCTCAGCTATTTGGGAGGCTGAGGCAGGAGAATTGCTTGAACCCGGGAGGCAGAGGTTGCAGTGAGCTGAGATTGCGTCATTGTACTCCAGCCTGGGGGACAAGAGCAAAACTCCATCTCGAAAGAAAGAAGAAAGAAAGAGAGAGAGAGAGAGGGAGGGAGGGAAGGAAGGAAGGAAGGAAGGAAGGAAGGAAGGAAGGAAGGAAGGAAGGAAAGAGAGAGAGAGAGAAAGAAAGAAAGAAAGAGAGAGAGAGAAGGAAGGAAGGAAGGAAAGAAAAAGAAAGAAAGAAGAAAGAAAGAAAGAAAGAAAGAAAGAGAGAGAGAGAGGGAAGGAAGGAAGGAAGGAAAGAGAGAGAGAGAAAGAAAGAAAGAAAGAGAGAGAGAGAAGGAAGGAAGGAAGGAAGGAAAGAAAAAGAAAGAAAGAAGAAAGAAAGAAAGAAAGAAAGAAAGAAAAAAAGAAAAAGAAAGAAAGAAAGAAAGAAAGAAAGAAAGAAAGAAAGAAAGAAAGAAAGAAAGAAAGAAAGAGAAAGAAAAAGAAAATGCAGCCTCGGTTCCACCTACAGCTTCAGCCTGCCTTCCGGGAGACAGCATGTGCACTGGGAAGCAGAAAAGCCCCACTGGCAACGTGTAAGCATGTAAATTCCAACTTCCAGCCATCCTCTGTAGGCAAGGTAACTGGGATTCCTGCAGAATGCTTTGGCCAGAGTGAGGGCAAAGTAAACCATACGTAACAGCTTTGATGGCCGGAAGTGCTCAGTGCCTGACCCAAATGAATAGGGTTAGTGATGGGAACGTCATCAAGATACCCAGTGGGCAGGTTTCTTAAAGTGGCTCAGCCCTCAGCATGGGAGAGTGTGGGCAACAGGGCGCAATGGTCATGGCTTACTGGTAAAAATAATAACCCCCGGTCAGGGCGAGGACTGGTAAAAATAATAACCCCTGGTCAGGACGAGGACTGGTAAATATAATAACCCCTGGTCAGGACGAGGACTGGTAAAAATAATAACCCCTGGTCAGGGCGAGGACTCATTACCTCTTGGTACCAGTGCTTCACCAGGCGAATTAAATCCTTCAGTTTGGTGTGCCGGGAGTGAATGAAGTTTCGCTGCAGTGCGGTGAAGCAGGTAGAAAACTCTCCTCCCGGGAGGTCTGAGGATTTATACAGATCAATGAGCCCTGCATACACCTCAGGGCTGGATGTGGAGCCAGAACTCAGCTGACCTAGCAGGAGGAAGAGAGTGACATCTGCTTTAATATGCATCATAAGTAACAGATTCCAAAACATTTTTGACAAATATGATTTAATTATGGGAAATTAATTTGAATAGTATTAGCATCTTTGAATGACTGATGTCTAAGACATAGGGAGCATCTCCAGAATAACGAGATACGTAAGAAACTATGTGGTCTTCATTAAAGGGAATTAAAATTGGAAATTTAGTTCCTCAGCTGCTGTAGCCACGTGTCAAGCTCTCCGTGGTTGTAGAACCCAGACAGAGAACATTTTCATTTTCACAGAAAGATCTTCGGGACAACACTGATCTGGAGTTTGCAAACCAATCTGGCACACTGTTTCTTGGTTTGTTTGTTTTGTTTTGTGTTTGTTTTGCTTTTTTGAGACAGGATTTTGCTCTGTTGCCCAGACTGGAGTGCAGTGGCATGATCACAGCTCACTGCAGCCTCCATCCCCCAGGCTCAAGTCATCCTCCCACCTCAGCCTCCTGAGTACCTGGGACTATAGGCATGTGTCACTGTGCCTAGCTAATTTTGTTTATTATTATTATGATTTTAGAAATGAAATCTCACTATGTTGTCCAGGCTGGTCTCGAGTTCCTGGATCAATCTTCCCGCCTCAGCCTCCCAAGGTACTGGCATTGCAGGTGCAAGCCTCTCAGCCCAGACCAACTGCTAGTTTTGTCTGTCTGTCTGTCTGTTTGTTTGTTTGTTTTTAGAGAGAGTCTCACTGTCACCCAGGCTGGAGTGCGGTGGCGCCATCTCGGCCCACTGCAGCCTCCGCCTCCTGGTTTCAAGCGATTCTCCTGCCTCAGCCTCTCTGAGTAGCTGGGATTATAGGCACGCGCCACCATGCCTGGAAATGAGAAATGGGACCAAAATTGTATTCAAGTGTAAAGTATTACTGCCACGATTAATGCCACTTGCTGGGGCCATGGACCCGGGAGTGGCACATGTTTTCACAGCCTATAATCAAGTCACGTGGCTTTCCCTCCACCCTCTGTCCACCATCACTTCCAGGATCCAGAATCTTCTTCCTCCAGAAGCTAAGGTCTGGGGAGCCTTACCCAGTGCGTTAAAGGCAGGAAGCACATCAAAGTTGACACTTTCATTGAGGACTTTGGATTTCAGAGAGAAGCTCAGCACCCTGGGAGCCTCCCACTTGGAAATCTCAAAGCGGACTTCAAGCTCCTCCTTCTTCTCCTGCTGAAAGGCTTCTAGCTGTTGATGGATTTCCTTGATGATTTTGTGCCGCTCGTTTTTTTGGGAGGTGTAGCTTTTAAGAGAGTTATGGAACACGACGAGGTTGCCATCAGAGCCATTTTTCAGAGCTGTGCCTTTGGCGGTTGATCCTCCCTAAGGGAAAAAGGAAGGTTGAAATCCAGAATTTCCTTGACCGAGGAGTCCTGTGCCCCTGTGGGCTGGCACCAATTGGGCTAACTAACATGGTTTCCACGGCCAAGTTCTGCGTTAGGGTCCAGTGAGGGCTGAGTCCAAAGCAGAGGGTTTCTTTTAAAAACTAATAGATAATACAGTTAGTGAACAATACAGTTCCAAAGGCAATTATTCTCCTGCCTTTTACACACGAACAACTGACAGGCTAGTTACAAGTAACCTTCTTCTCAAGTTAATTTCCTAAAGATTTTGCCTGAAGACATATTTAGCTTTATTTAGATTCCTGTGACCAAATAAATCGAGCTGAATGCAATCATTATGGTGAAAGTGCTCTTCTGGAGTTCATGTCCTTTGCAGGGACATGGATGAATCTGGAAGCCATCTTTCTCAGAAAACTAACACGAGAACAGAAAATCAAACACTGCACGTTCTCACTCATAAGTGGGAGCTGAACAATGAGAACGCATGGACACAGGGAAGGGATCACACACCGGGGCCTGTCGGGGAGTGGGGGGTTGGGGAGGGAGAGCATTAGGAGAAATAACTAATGTAGCTGACGGGTTGTTGGGTGCAGCAAACCACTATAGCACGTGTATACCTATGTAACAAACCTGCCCGTTCTGCACATGTGTCCCAGAACTTAAAAGTATAATAATAATAAAAAAAGAAAGTGCTCATCTGTTCTTTGATGTGTGTTTTCTCCTGCGATCTGGGGATCATTGGGTGAATATCCATAGTTGAGGTACAGGGTTGTTAAACTTTCTGCAAAGGGCCAGATAGTACATATTTTGGGCTTTGTGGGCCACTCATGTCTCTGCCATTAAGGCTTCTCCCTTCCCTCCCTCCTCTTTCTCCTCCTTCTCCTCCGTTTAGTTTCTGTAGACAAAAGTGTTTTCTTTCATCCATGGGTAGTAAATGCCTGGTTACATGGGTTAGGGAGGTGAGGAAGGGGTGTGTTCTATTTCCTGTATGCAGACCCTCCATTCTTCCCTGTTCCTGCCCCTTTCATTCATGCAGCCCACCTTTGTCTTTAAGAGCTGGGCTTTGGCGGCTTCTCCCAGACTGTAGCCCCCTCCTCACAATCTCTAGGTGTCACCTTCCCTGGCCTTAGCAGAGAAACCTTCAGCCAGCTCCGGCAAGATAGAAAGCAATGTCTCATCTGCCGATGGCTCTCTCTTCCTCTTTGATGTGTCATATACCTTTTCTTTTTCACTGACTATCATGAGAATGGGGTCTCAGGAAAGAGAGGAGAAAGCACATGCTTTGACGATTCTAACACTGATCGGAAACTCAGTCCTGTTTTCACTCCAATGACCTTCAATGACGCAGTTTACTCATCACCCGGGATATTGATGCCATTTCCCAGGCCCCTCTCTCTAGATGCACAGATTTGTTCTCGCATCACCACAGACATTTACGTGTACATAATAACACTTTCCTCCCTCCCTTCTTGTGACTGTGGGGACACGTTTATCTGGTCGTGTGACCAGTAAATAGAGAGATACATGTCAGCCTGTGGCCTTTGAGCCACCGACAAGAATGACCGAAGCCTCTGAGTCTCTAGCTCAGCTGATGTGGCAAGCCGGGCTCCAGTCACTGAAAGGAGATGGAGATTCTAAGCTCCTTAGAATCTGCAGAGGGTTCAATGGCAGATCCCCTAATGCCATATCCTCCGGGGTCCTGTGGATGCGCCCTTATGTGCACAAATGATCTTTGCAGATGTAACTGAGTTAAGGACCTGGAGATGAGATCAGGAAGGAGAGGAGAAAGCACATGCTTTCACAGTTCTAACCCTGATCAGAAACTCAGTCCTGTTTTCCCTCCAGTGACCTTCAATGAGACAGTTCACTCATTGCCCCAGGGATATTGGTGTGAACAAAATATCCTAGATCCAGAAACAAACCTGTCCTAGTTTCTGGATCAGGCTGGGCCCCAAATCCAATAACAAGTCTTCTTAGAGGAGAAGAGAAGCGGGGAGGACACAGAAGAAAAGGTGACGACAGAGGCAGGGCGGGGAGTGATGTGTCTCCTGGCCCCAAGGATGGCCAGCAGCTCCAAGAAAAACAATACAGAATCAAAGTTGTTTTGTTAATGACCTAGGTGGTCTATCCACAGCCCCCACTGAAAACCAGTGTACTGGTTCTCTTAACTCCCTCCCGGCCTCCCTTCCTCCCATTTCTGAAGGTAGATGGATCCTTGCGAGCTGCAATGCCCACTTCGCTTCCTTCCAGGAATGCCAATATTAAATCACCCCAACAAGACATAGGAGAAAGGCCAGTGCTCACCTGGACAGTCTGGATCTTGGCGATTGATCGTCGGAAGCAATTTTCTTCAAGGAATTTACAGATGATGTTAACAGCACTATTGACCTGCTCTAGGAAGTATTTGTCAGGCTGGAGAAAATCCTTGATGAACTTATCTAGACAGTGGCCCGGGGTTGTGAAGAGTGGCGCAGGCTGGGGAAAGAAGACCCCAAGTGTGAGCGGCCCCTGTAAGCCCACCCAAGGCTTCCTTTCCTGCCTGTCCTGGGCCCCCTACCCTGCCTCTCCCAACTGCCCTCTAGCTCACAGGCTGACATCTTTTCCATCTTTTGTCCTTGTACGAATACATCCCAAGAACACACCTGAGGGTTTGGGGTGGCATGCAAGACCCCCCCAGAAAAAAAACTGTCCTAGTTGCCCCTCATTCCCCCCTAGGAGAGATCCGGATCCTCGTGCGGTGTTCCTGACTGCAGACTCCTCTTCCAGGCCCGGCTGGAGCGTCACCTCCTAACGACCTGGGCCTTCTCGCTTTACCCACACATCTGGTCCTTCCCTGTTTTTTCCGTTTGCTGTAGGTATCAGAGATTGCTGATGACCACATCCATTCCTTTCTTAAGGTTAAACATGCCATGTACGTTTGTGTTGGTTTCCAAGGGCTGCCATAACAAGTGACCACAACTAGGTGGCTTCAAACAAGAGAAGTTTGTTGTCTCCCAGTTCTGGAGGCCAACAGTTCAAACTCCAGGTTTTGGCACAGCTGAACTCCCTCCGAAGCACACGTGGCTAAGGCTCTAGAGACGGGAGGATTATTCTGCATTACCTGGATAGGCCTGATGTCATCACCAGAGTCTTTTTCCTCTTAATTTTAATTTTTAATTGAATTAATTAATTTTTCTCCAATTTTATTTTAGGTTCCAGGAGGGTCATGTGCAGGTTTGTTACATGGGTAAATTGCATGTCGCCGAGGCTTGGTGTGTGAACGATCCCATCATCTAGGTAGTAAGCATAGAACCCAATAGGTAGCCTTCCAATCCGTGCTCCTAACCCATGTTTTTTCAGAAACCGTGTCTCGCTCTGTCACTCAAGCTGGAGTGCAGCAGTGGTGCCATTATAACTCACTGCAGTCTCCAATTCCTAGGCTCAAGAGATCTTCCAGCCTCCGTCTCCACAGGTTTGTGCCACCATGCCTAGTTATTTATTTATTTTAGAGATGGGGTCTCACTAGGTTTCCCCAGGCTGGTCTCAAATTCCTGGTTTCAAGCAATCCTCCACCTCAGCCTTCCACAGTGCTGGGATTACAGGCATGAGCCACTGTGCTTTTAAGGACATGGGTATTTATCAGAGTCAGGCAGGAGGGTCAGAGTTGGAGGAGGTGGTGTGATGATGGAAGCAGAGACAGGGGCTGGAAGATGCTGGGCTGTCGGCTTTGAAGAGGGAGGAAGGGGCCATGTGCCAAGAAATTTGGACAGCCGCAAGGGGCTTGAAAAGGTGAGGAAACACATATTTTTATTTGGTTGGTGCAAAAGTAATTTTGAGACAGGGTCTTGCTCTGTCTCCCAGGTTGAATGTAGTGGCACAATCATGGTTCACTGCAACCTCGACCTTCCTTGCTCAAGTGATCCTTCTGCCTCAGCCTCCTGACTAGCTGGGACTACAGGCATACACCACTGCACCTGGCTAGTTTGTTATTATTATTAGTTTGTAGAGACGGGGTATTGTTATGTTGCTCAGGAACTCTTGGTCGCAAGCGATCCTCCTGCCTCAGCCTCCCAGAGTATTGGAATTACAGGTGTGAGCCACCATGCCTGGCTCAAATTCATGTATTTTAAGTCACTAAGTTTAGGGCATTTTTTAAAAAAAAAGCAGTAAGAGGAAACTAATTCACTGTTCTATACACATGTTGTACTTTTGCTGGCAACACAGACAAGATGGGCTAGCTCACCTGGAAGTGGGGAAGGGCATATGCATGGTATGAGTACATGTGTGTGATGTGCATAAGTGCATGTGTGTGCATGGTGTGAGCACATAGGTGTACATGTGTATGAATGCATGTGTGTGGTATGAGTGCATGTGTGAGCATGTGCATGAGTGCATATATATGCATGGTATGAGTGCATGTATATGCATGTGTATGCATGTGTATGAATGTATGTGTGTGTGGTGTGAGTGCATGTGTGAGCATGTGCATGTGTGTGCATGGTGTGAGTACATATGTGTGCATGTGTGTGGGTGCATATGTGTGTGGTATGAGTGCACGTGTGAGCATGTGCATGAGTTCATGTGTGTGCATGGTATGAGTGCCTATGTATGCATGGTATGAGTACATGTGTATGCATGTGCATGCATGTGTATGAATGTATGTGTGTGTGGTGTGAGTGCATGCATGTGCATGTGCATGAGTGCATGTGTGTGGTGTGAGTGCAAGTGCATGAGTGCATGTGTGCATGTAAGTGCATGTGTGTGCATGTGCATGAGTGCATGTGTGTGCATGGTATGAGAGCACATGCATGCAGGTGTGTGCATGTGCATGAGTGCATGTGTGTGCATGGTGTGAGTGCATGTGTGTGTGTGGTGTGAGTGCCTGTATGTGCATGAGTGCATGGTGTGGTGTGAGTACATGTGTGTGCATGAGTACATGTGTGTGGTGTGAGTGCATGTGTGTGCATGAGTGCATGTGTGTGCATGGTGTGAGTGCATGTGTGTGTGTGGTGTGAGTGCCTGTATGTGCATGAGTGCATGGTGTGGTGTGAGTGCATGTGTGTGCATGAGTACATGTGTGTGGTGTGAGTGCATGTGTGTGCATGAGTGCATGTGTGTGGTGTGAGTGCATGTGTACATGAGCCCTCCAACGTTTGTACCTCCTTATGCAGTGGTTCCTGGGCCTAAATTGTCTTCAACAGATGTAGAGAAGGGATGGTCTCATAGTTCTCAGAATAGAAGTTGATAGGGTAGCAAAGCAAAAACAGCCAAAGTGAGCATCAAAAGATGGTTTAGGAGATGTGTGGAACTAAAGGATGTGTGCTTCTGGGTTGGAAGAGAGTGTCCTATAAAGGACATTCTTGGGATGATTGTCAAAATCATCCCAGTGGGCTGTGTTGGAACAATAATATGTAACTCCTCACCTCCTGAACTTGATATGGCGTGGAGGTTATTGAAGAGGATATTCTTGTTCTCAGAGATCCCTATGAAAGCATTTAAGGGTAAAAAGATGTCTGGCAGTCTACTCTCAAAGGGCTCAGTATAAACAAAAACAACAGCTATAACAATGGGCAGGTGAGGTGGCTCAAGCTTGTAATCCCAGAACTTTGGGAGGCCAAGGTAGGAGGATCACTTGAGCCCAGGAGTTTGAGATCAGCCTGGCCAATGTAGTGAGACCCCATCTTTAAAAATAGATGAAAAACAACTATAACAACAATAATAATAACGTGTGCACATACAAACTAACAGCAAATGTTGCACAGGGTGCATCTGCATGAGGGGCTCATAGCAGTTTATTGAACCATTTTTCTAACTTTTTAAATGTTTCAAAGCTTCAGAATAAAATGTCACGGAAGAGGGGGTAATTTTTTTTGAAAAAATCTGCCTGAAGAAGTCAGGAAAATTGGGGTCAGGGAGCAAAGACCAGGGGTCCAGTGAAAGTAGGGGTTGGGGTGGGCACAGGGGTGACTGCTCAGAGCATCCTGATCCTGCTGGGTTCAGTTAGGGAAGTTCCCCATTCATAGACTCCCCCGCCTCTGTGAAGTTTGCTAAACTCATTTACATCTTCATTTACATGCCAGATTGGTGCTCAGTTAGCCTTCAAATTTCTGTGCAAATGTGATGTGGATTCTGCCTCCCATAACTTGGATATGAATTAATCTCCTGCCTGTGAAGTGTGGAATTTGGTTGGCCCCTTTGGCCTCAATTAATAAAGTTGTCCCCAGTGCGGTTCCCAGGAAAGCTGAGAGGGCTCAGTGGTTTAACCTGGGAAGTTTCTTCTTGGATGGCTTTTCTCTAATAAGTGCTGAGCATGCAGGGGAGCTCGTGTTGGTAGATTTACTTCTCCTTTGGGGGATGGGAAAGGGAAGTCCAGTGCACCTGTTTCACAGCTGGTGCCTTAATTGGTTCTCCTGTTTTGGCCCCACTTCTGCCTCTTGCCCCCAGCACCTGCCTGAATGGAGCTCAGAGCCTGTCCTGGCAGCCACAGTCCCGACTGCCGCCCCCTTCTTTGAGCAATGCTCTGTTTCATGTCTCCACCTGCCTGGCTGTCTCTCTTAAAGAAATTAATTAAGATCTGGTATCTGTGGGTACCCCCTTTCTCTTTGTTCCATTTTCCATTTTGGACTTAGCAGTCATTGCCCCAATGGCGTGCTATGAGTTGAACTGTGTCCCCCTTAAAGATGCTGGGGTTCCAACATACAGTATGGGCGAATGTGCTGTACTTGGAAATAGTGTCTTTTCAGATGGGATCTAGTGAAGATTAGCTCATTAGGGTGGACTCTAATTCAGTATGACTGTTGCTTTTAGAAGAAGAGGAGACAATAAGACAGATATGCACAGAGGGAAGCTGATGTAAAGACACATAGGGAGAAGGCCATGTGACCACCGGGGCAGAGGCTGGAGTGATGCAGCCACAAGCCAAGGACTGCTGGCAACTACTGTAAGCTGGAGGAAGCCTGGAATAATTCTTTCCTATGGCCTGCAAAGAGAGTGTAGCCCTGTCAACACCCTGAGTTTGAACCAGCAATATCCAGAATGGTGAGAGAATAAATTTCTCTGGTTTTAAGCCACCTGTTTTGCAGAACTTTGTAACAGCAGCACAGGAAATTAATACAGGGTACTCTCAGATAATATTTAGCCTGGGTGTCAGGAAGACTTTCCTGCAGCATGCAACACCCTGTATTTGGAAAACCCTCTTACCAGGACATTCCAAGATGGTGCAGGTAACTCATTATCCAACTGGGGAGAAGTCAACCAGGTCTGAGCTTCTTGTTTCAGCCTTTGCCAGCATCTGTTATCTCCACTCACGTTATTGGTTGGGTCGGTTGGATCCAAGATTACTGGCCTGTGTATTCCATTAGATTAAAAAAAATCAGTGGAGCTGCTTGTGGGGGTCAAAATCTGTATTGGGGAAAGAGGCCTCGAGTGGGAATCTGGTAACCTGAATTTGGATTCCCGTGGTTCCTCCAAGCTGCTGAGGGATTTTGTCTATGACATTAAGCTCCTCTGGCCCTGCGTTTGCTGCTTTACAGAGACATTCTATTAATAAAATAACAAACCAGTCTCCTCTTCCTGCCACTCCCCGCTTCTCTCTTAGCCCCTTCTTTCTATAAGGGGAAGTGTCTCTTCATGTGTTTGTTTAGGGGACAAAATGTGATTATGGTTTGGAACGTGAAAAGCAATGGCTGGACCTCCCCTCTTTCAGACAGACCCCTCTGCCTCCCCACCCATGGTGGCTGCCATTCTTCTGGTACATCACTGACTGGACAGGGCAAGGCTGAGATCTCATTCCAAAAAGGTACACCTAGCATGCAGATGATGAGGTACAGGGCTAGGGCATGAGAAGCTTGGCACCTCACTGATTGGAGCTGGTGCAGCAAGACGTTCCTGACGGTCTCATCTTCAAAGTTGTAGTTGACCATCCAATAGATACACAGCTGCTCCTGGCATTTGATCAGCCCCAGAACAGTTCTGACGCCTTCAGCAATGTCAAAGTTGTCTTTTCTGCACCCCTGTTCCCAGGCATACACTGTCAGCAGCTCCAGGGCGTACGGAGACAGCAAGGGTAAACCGTTCATTTTTTTCTGGCACTATGGAAGAAGAAAAGGGTGGCGGCTTATTTGGGAATCGAGTTCTTCCTATGTCGGTGATCTGAAATCAAGAAGCCAGAAGCCTATAGGAAGTCATTCTCCCTCGCCAGAATGCCTGCAATTCAGTGGACCCACAATACCAAGTCTTGACAAAGACGTGAACCAACTGGGATGGAGCAGGGACCTCTCTCAGGGGCCTGCAGGCCACCACTGCCCCCATCCCACAAGCAGGAAAAGAATGGAAAATCTTGAGTTTTTTTCAAGGGAAATTCCAGGCACCTCACTAGCTTTGAAAAGTCAATGAGTCACTTGATAAACAAAAATATAGTAGTTCAGGGTCTACAGGAGTGGTGAAAAAAAAAAAACCCAATAAAATAAAAACAACAAAAGACGGTAATAGTCACTTAAAACAATAGCCAAGGAAGTCAGAGTCAGAAGATGTTTTGTTCCCTGTAGAAACTAAAGATAACATCTTAACACATGTCCCTGAGTTGATTTTCAGAAACTCAGACCCCCACCAAGTGAATCCATGGGCAGGTAGACCTCAGATAAGGGGAAGCTGAGGATTAAACCCTGGCTTGTTCTTTGTTCTAAATGTCTTCCTGAGGGTCCTGGAGGAGGTCACACCTATCAGCCAGAGCTAACATTCCTTTCTGCTGATCTGAAATTTTTAGACAAAGCTTCACCTACTTCACCAATCAAAAATCAGAAGGTCTTTGAATCCTGTGACCTGCACCACCCATCCTCCTCCTCCCACCTGCTTGGGGATGTCCCACCTTTTTAGGTCAAACCAATGTACAGCCTCTATGTGTTGACTTATGGCTTTGCCTGTAACCTCTGTCTCCTCACCTTTAAAACTCTTACCTATAAGCCATTGGGGAGTTCAGCTCTTAAACATGAGCTGCCCGGTTCTCCCCGCTTGGCTCCCTGCAGTAAATGCCTCACTCTTCCCCTGCAATCCCAAAGTCACTGTTTGGCTTTGCTGTACTAGGTGAGCAGATCCTTGGATTTAATAACATGCCTGAAACTCATACCTTGCTCATGAGAGTGTAATTTGGTAAGATTTTGGAAATGGTTTGGCAAGATTTGCTATAATTAAACAAAAAAAATCAAATAAACTACATGTATTTTATATATTTACACATATATGTACACAAATTCGTATACATGTACTAGATAGCCCAGCAATTCTACTGCTACATGTTTACCCAAGAGAAATGAATGCTTACATTCACAGAAAGACACGTAAGAGAATATCCATAGTAAACTAATTCATAATCGCCCCAATTTGAAAATGACCCAATCATCTATCAGTAGCAGATTGGATCATGTATGTTATATTAATACAATGGAATATGGAAAAACAATAGAGGCGGACAGATCTTGAGGTCAGGAGATCGAGACCATCCTGGCTAACATGGTGGAAACCCTGTCTCTACTAAAAATACAAAACTTAGCCAGGTGTGGTGGGTGGATCTCCTGAGGTTAGGATTTGAGACCAGCCTGGCCAGCATGGTGAAACCTTATCTCTACTAAAAATACAAAAATTAGCTAGGTGTGGTGATGCATGCCTGTAGTCCCAGCTACTCAGGAGGCTGAGGCAAGAGAATTACTTGAACCCGGGAGACAGAGGTTACAGTGAGCCAAGATCCCATCACTGCACTCCAGCCTGGGCAACAGAGCAAGACCCTGCAACCACGTGAATGAGTCTCTCAGACATAATGTTGAGCAAAAGAAAGCAGACATACATGGGCTCATGTACAGTATGAGCCCACTAATCTGTGGTGGTGACAGATGTTAAAATAGAAGTTTGTTTGGGAGGATTACTGGAGGGGGGCAGTGGGCTTGAGGCACCTTCTGGGGTGCAGGAAATGTTCCCTCTGTTGATTAGGCATTGCCGGTAAGATTATAAAAATACATGGAGCTGTATACCTAAGAGTGTTGCACTTTACTGGATGTCAATTATCTCGATAAAAAGGAAATAAATGATAACTGTATATAGACAGTTGGAAAATTACCTGTTGATGCCAGTGCTTTATCAAGAGGATCAAATCCTTTAGTTTTCTGGGACGGTTGTTAAAAAACTTCTGCTGAAGTTCGGTGAAGCAGACTGCAAACTCACCAGGGCGGGCATTTGTCTTATCCAAGGATCTTTTGAGCTCTCGATAGATCCAGGGGCTGGGATTGTCATTTAAGCCTGAAGTGAAAGAGAAATTGGAACTTTAGTATTTATGTAATCTGGTCTCAGAGAGACAGGGTGCTCTACAACGAAGGTCAGTTGTAGTTTGATAGCACACAACCTCTGCTTCATCGGTCAAAAGACTGGTACCTTTACATAAAGCATAATGGGGAAGGATGATTTGGCCCATTAGATAATAAAGGGTAGTCTAAAGTGACTATAATGAAAACGGTATGGTGTTAACCCAAGTCAAGATCAGCAGAACCGAATGAAGGGACAAGAGATGCAATTCTAAATGGCAAAGGGAATACTCCAAATTAGTAGGGAACAAGTGGGTTCTTTAAAAAAATTGTTGGTGTTGGCATAACTGGTATACATCTGGAAGAAAGGAAAGTTAGGAAAGTTTATGTTTTACATGCAATATATTCTGTTACCGAGTCCATCCAGTAAATATCCTATTTCAGGGTGTCAGCGTATAGGGAGGAGGCAGGCAAGGTGGCAGCAGGGCCTTGGAAGCCTGGGAACAGAGGCTGCTTTAATCAATGTGTTTCCATTCTTGCTAGCTAAGCTCCATTGTTTATAAACACGTTTATTTAGCTTGGCATGGTGGCTCATGCCTGTAATTCCAGCTCTTTGGGAGTCTGAGGCAGGTGGAACATTTGAGGCTGGGGGTTTGAGATCAGCCTGGCCAATATGGTGAAACCCCATCCCTACTAAAAATACAAAAATTAGTTGGGCAGGTGGCAGGCACCTGTTATCCCAGCTACTCAGGAGGTTGAGGCAAGGGAATAGCTTGAACCCTAGAGGCAGAGGTTGCAGTGAGCCATAATTGTGCCACTGAACTCCAGCCTGGGTGACAGAGTGAGACTCTGTCTCAAAATAAAAATAAAATAAACACACTTATTGATTGATTACTGTTACTGAAACACCAGGGGTTCAGTCTAGGTCCTGCACAGAAAGCCAATGACTGAAACAACAAGTGTGGCCAAGAAGAAGGCTTTAATCAGGTGCTGCAGCCAAGTCGATGAGAGATCAGTCTCAAATCCTTTTCCCTGACAGACTAAAGTTAGGGTTCTGTATAGCAGAGAAGAAATGTCACTATGTTTGGGAAAACAGGATTTGGGGAGGGGTAAGGAGGCAATCATGAGGAATAAGGGATCTGATATTGCATTGTCTGGATGCAGTGACTGATGATTTTCAGTTCTTTGATACTTTTTGAGAGGTCTGAGGGTCCTTTTCTGATGAAGGAGCTCAAGTTAAACAAAGGTAAGTTTCGAGCTTTAAGATGAGAAGAGTCATTTCTATGTTGATAACAACAACAAAACCCCAAACAAACAAACAAAACCAAAACCAAAAACAAAATGGTCTATGGGATACTGGGTTTGGTTCATCATTACTCTTATTTTTAGAGATAGAGTCTTCTCTATCACTCGGGCTGGACTGCAGTGGTGCAATCATAGCTCACTGAACCATCAAATATATTTCAAAGCTCAAGTGATCCTCCTGCCTCAGCCTTCTGAGTAGCTAGGACCACAGGCATGTGTCACCATGCTTGGCTTTATTTTATGTTATTATTATTATTTTTTGAGATGGCATCCTACTATGTTGCCCAGACTGGTCTTGAACTCCTGGCCTCAAGTGATCTTCCCACCTCGGCCTTCCAAAGTGTTGAGATTACAGGTGTGAGCCACCACCCTGGCCCATAGACATATTTAGATAAATAACCAGGAGAAAACAGCCAGCTTGTTCCTTTCATACACCCCAGTGGATATTTACTGACTCCCTAGACGTGGTTCTGGGCACTTGGCATGCAGGGAGGTTGAGGGAAAGAGCATCCTATCTTCCTCCATAATGATAATAAATAGCTAACATTTATTGTGTGCTTACCCTAAGCCTTTTATGAACAGTGAAACATATAAGCCTTACAAAACTCAAAACTCTTAGCTGGCAAGTGCAATCGCAATTACTAATTTACAGATGAGGATAATGGAAATACCAGCAAGTCAAATACCAGCTGGTATCAAGAAATACCAGCAAGTCAAGCAAGTAAATAGGTACTTCTCGCTTTGGGTCAAAGTCCCTAGGGGGAGAGCTGTAGTGGCACCCAGTGGTGGAAAGAAATGCAGAATTGGAGACAGCCTGCCGGGACCTGGTGTAAAAAATAGGCCAGGTTAGTCAGGCTAATATTTATTTATTTTATTCAAAAAAAAAAAAATCAAGTTACCAATTCCCCTGTAGGTTGCTTTGCTCATAAAGTGACCCTGTGTTTCCTTCATAAAAGGGAGCCTATAAGAGTTTGGGATGTGCAGCTTTACCACCATCTAGTGGCGCCTTCTGGGTAGAACATGCAGGGAACAGGTAATTTCTCATTTTCACACCATCCTTGCATGGTGGGGTGGACCCAGTAGAGGGCGCCCTGGCCAGGTCTCCCAGCATGGCTCTTGGAACAGGAGGAGACTTTCCTATGAGAATTATGAGTGCACCTGTCTCCCACCTTGACTCCAGCCCTTGTTTGAAGCAGGCCCCCACCCCCAACCCTGAGCGTCCTAATGGCCCTGGAAGCTAGTTTTGAGTCTGATTGTACAGCTGCTGGTGTAGGTGAGTAGTAGGACCAGGATAATAGCTCAGGGCTGCCAACTTCCCAAACTGGCGCATGTTTCCCCGAGCCAGGCCTCCTTTCTGTGAATGTGAGTTATCAAGATGTGTGTATGTCTCCACCTTATCAGTGATGGCTCGGCTAATTGTTCTTCTAGGTTCCTGGTAACCCAGAAATTCTTTAAAACTATAGGTGATGGAAGGTACTTGGGCTTAGAAGACCTGGGCTTTTCGGTTTCCCCACTTATTCAGTGATGGCTTAAGTTTCAGCTGGGGAATTTTCTTTCCCTTCCCCTACTCCTCCCCTTTCCCCTCCCTTTTCCCCTCCCCTTTCCCCTCCCCTTTCTCCCTCCCCTTTTCCCTCCCCTTCCCTCCTCCCCTCTCCTCCCTCCTTTTTTCTTTTTCTTTCCTTTTCTTTGTTTTTCTTTTTCTTTCCATCAGGTCTTGCTCTGTTGCCCAGGCTGGAGTATAGCGGTGTGATAAGAGCTCACTGCAACCTTGAACTCCTGTGCTCAAGTGATCCTTCTGCCTCAGCCTCCCCAGCAGCTAGGACTGCAGGTGCATGCTACCCCATCTGACTAATTTTCAATTCTTTTGTAGAGATGGGTTTCACTATGTTGCCCAGGCTGGTCTTAAACTCCTGGCCTAAAGCAATCCTCCTGCCTCAGCCTTCCAAAGCGCTGGGATTATAGGCATGCGCCACCACACCCAGCCTGGAATTGTTTAAGTTTGTGATTATATGTGCACCTGTCTTGAGACTATCTATCTCATCCATAAATATATACATACATTTACTATCTATCTGTCCATCCATCTATATCCGTTTATCCATCCATTTTCCTTCCATCCATTTATCCATCATGATCCATCTATCCATTCATCCAACAACTATGATTAATAGTGAACATTGTACTAGAGACCATAGAAGAACAACATACTCATGATACCTGTCCTCATGGAGCTTCTAGTCTAGAAGAGGAGAAAGCTAAAGAAATTATTTCCATATAAGTTGTGAAAAGATAATAAGTCTTGGGGCCCCAAAATCACTCAGGTAAAGGGAAAAGTCAGGCTGAGAACTGCCAGGACAAACCTGCCTCCCATTCTATTCATTCACCCCTCTGCTCACTAAGATAAATACATATCTGATTGCCTCTTTTGGAGAGGTTAATCAGAAACTCAAAGGCATGCAACTATTGGTCTCCTATCTACCTATGATCTGGAAGCCCACTCCCCACTTTGAGTTGTTCCACTTTGCCTTGAGTAGTCCCGTCTTTCCAGAGCGAACCATTGTTCATCTTACATATGTTGAATGATGTCTCATGTCTCCCTAAAATGCGTAAAACCAAATTGTGCTCTGACCGCCTTGGGGACATGTCATCAGGACCTCCTGAGGCTGTGTGATGGGCACACGTCCTCAACTTGGGCAGAATAAACTTTCTAAACTAACTGAGACTGTCTCAGATATTTGGGGTTTGCAAAGTGATAAATCTCATGATTCAGAAAGCACAAATTGCTACTATGTGGGAAGTGGATCTAACCCAAACGTACAGAGCCAGAGGACTTAAAGGATGAGCTGGAATTATCCAAAAATAAAAGGCTGGGGGAAATATGTTCCAGGCAAAGGAACAATATGGGCCAAAGTCTGAAGTTGAGCTAACACCATGTGGGTTTGAGGAGCTCAGGGAAGGTCAGAGTGGCAGAAGCACAGGGAGTTAGTTGGTGGAGAGTGGTACAGCTGGAGAGGTAAGTAAGTAGGGGCTGCCAGATCATAAAAGTCCCGTCCTGCTGAGGAGTTTGATCCTTAACCTTGTAAACCAAAAATAAAATTCTAAGCCTTCCCAACCAACTAAATGAACCCCTCTCTTGGTCAAGGGGAACCCCCAAAGGAACCTGAAAAACTAGATCAGGTCCTGACGGGAAGGAGGAGCTCGGACATAGCTCATTATACTCTCCTCCATTTGGATTTCAGGCACAAATGACAAACATTCACATTAAAATAGAGATCCCAAGAACAGGTCTCCTTGTAGCAATAAGACACCACATTCCAACCTAACTCTGGTATAGCATCATATGACAGATCACAGGCCCTAAAGGAAATCAAAAGTATTTTACCCCAAAATATATTTCTTTAACTTGTTTTGGAATGGTCCTGCAAAGCTGTGTCGTCTGGGAAAATTCACATTCTGTGGCAAAGCCCCTTCCCCTTCCAGGTCTTTTTCTGATTCAGGAGAGATTTTAACTAACAGTCTAACACCTTTAAGTTCTGATAGGAGACATTTACCACTTATTCTCCCTGAAACCTGCTACCTGGAGGCTTCATCTCTATAATAACAACCTTGGTTTCCACAACGCCCCTTATCTTAACCTGAACTCCTTCCACCAACTGCTAATCAGGAAATCGAAATTTTTTTTTTTTTTTTTTTTTGAGACAGGAGTCTTGTGTTGCCCAGGCTGGAGGGCAGTGGCATGATCTCGGCTCACTGCAACCTCCACCTCCCAGGTTCCACTGATTCTCCTGCCTCAGCCTCCCGAGTAGTTGGGACTACAGGCACGTGCTACCACGCCCAAATAATTTTTCTATTTTGTAGTAGAGATGGGGTTTCACCATATTGGCCAGGCTGGCCTCAAACTCCTGACCTCGTAATCTGCTCGCTTCGGTCTCCCAAAGTGCTAGGATTTCAGGCATGAGCCACTGTGCCCAGCTAGGAAATCCTTATAACCACCTATGACCTGGAAGCCCCTGCTTTGAGACAGCTTGCCTTTCCAGGCTGAACCAATGTATACCTTATGTGTGTGCTTTATGTTTCTCCCTGTAAATTCTGTCCCCCTAGACTGTACAAAACAAGCTGTAATCTAGTCACCTTGGGCACATATTCTCAGGAACTCCTGAGGCTGTGTCACAGGTCATGGTCCTCATAGCTGGCTCAGAAAAAACCTTTTAAAAATGCAATGAAAAGCCATTAGTGGCAGAGTGTGTGACACAATGATATTTGTGTGTGGAAAGAGAGCACCAGCTGCAGCGTGGAGTGAGAGAGGAGGCAGGGAGACAGTTAGGAAGCCATTGCCACATCCCTGGAGTGACATTGACTAGGGAAGTAGCAGTGGGACAGGAGAGAAGTGAAGCAGATTTAGGAAAGTTAGGCAGAACTGGCAGGACTTAGCGATGGGCTGTGAGTGGGGAGGTAGGGGAGTTGGAGATTCAACCCTGGCTTAGGTGTATGAACAAAAAATAGAATTTGAAGCCCCCAGTCATCTGAATGGACCCCTCCTCTCAGCAAGGGCATTCCAAATTGACCTGAAAACCCAGTTCAGGCCGTGACGGGAAGGAGGAACCAGACACGCCTCATGATAACTTCCTCCTTTCCCTTCTGGAATTAATGATAGAACAGACTCTTGCCTGATAAGAAATATTTACAATCTATTCTCTCTGAAGCCTGTGACCTGGAGGCTTCATCTGCATGATAAAACGTTGGTCTCCACAACCCCTCATCATCATAACCCAGATGTTCCTTTCTATTGATGATAACGCTTTCAATCAATTGCCAATCAGAAAATCTTTAAATCTACCAATGACCTGGAGGTCCCACTTTGAGTTGCCCTGCCTTTCCAAACCAAACCAACGTACATCTTACATGCATTGATCGATGTCCCATGTCTCCCTAAAATGTATTGTATTAGTCTGTTCTCATGCTGTTAATAAAGACATACCTGAGACTAGTTCATAAAAGGAAAGAGGTTTCATTGACTCACAATTCCACATGGCTGGAGAGACCTCACAATCATGGTGGAAGAGCAAGGGACATCTTACGTGGTGGCAGGCAAGAGAGAGCTTGTGCAGGGGAGCTCCCCTTAATGAAACCATCTCAAGAGACTTACTCTTTATCAGGAGAACAGCATGGGAAAGACCCGCCCCTATGATTCAGTTACCTCCCACTGGGTCCCTCCCATGACACGTGGGAATTATGGGAGCTGCAATTCAAGATGGGATTGGGTGGGAACACAGTCAAACCATATTATGTATAAATCCAAGCTGTACCCTGACCACCTTGGCACATGTCATCAGAACTTCCCGAGGCTAAGGTTAAAGATGTCATGGGCACATCCTTAACCTTGGCAAAATATACTTTCTAAATAAATTGGGAGCTGTCTCAGATACTTCTGGTTTACAGGTGATAGTGTTGCTGGAAAAGAGGGTCCTGATTCAGACCCCAAGAGAGGGTTCTTAGATCTCATGCAGGAAGGAATTCAAGGCAAGCACAGAAGCAAATTTATTAGAAACTATTTTGTTACAGAGTAGGGCATCCTCGGAAAGGAGAGGGAATGTGCCATTCTTTGTTAGTGTATTTGTTTATAAGAAATTATAAGAGGCTGTAAGTAAAAGTGGAATGTGCAGATGTGCTCACTAAAGGTAGGAGCTATTGGTGCTGTTAAATCAAGTTTAGCCTAAAACTGCCTTCTTACATATTTTAAGTTGGGCCTAAGATTTCCCTGCACATGGTGAACTATAACCTAAATGGATGTGTAAACAGACTGCAACCTCCTCTTGTGCCAGTCACTGAGTTCTGGTCAATTAAAGGTGACCAACTGGTCAAATCTTATTCAAATAAGGCCAATGCTGAGCGATAACCAGCCTGGTTGTTTCTGTGCCTCATTTTCACTTTCAGTACATTACTTTCCTTTTCCTGTCCATAAACCCTCTTCCACCATGTGGCTGTGTTCGAGACTTTCTGAACCTACTCTGGCTCAGGAGGCGTCTAGATTCATGAATTGTCTGCTCAGTTAAACACCATTAAATTGAAATTGGCTAAGAATTTTTTCCTCCTCCTCCTCCTCCTCCTTCTTCTTCTTTCTTCCTTCTTTCTTCTTCTGTCTTCTTCTTTTCTTCTTTTTCTCCTCCTCCTCCTCTTCTTCTTCCTTTCTTTTGTTGAGATAGAGTTTCACTCACGTTGCCCATGCTGGAGTGCAATGGTGTGATCTCGGCTCACTGCAACCTCCGCCTCTTGGTTTCAAGCGATTCTCCTTCCTCAGCCTCCCGAATCAGTTGCTGGGATTACATGACTGCACCACCATGCCTGGCTAATTTTATATTTTTAGTAGAGATGGGGATTCTCCATGTTGGTCAGGCAGGTTTCGAACTCCTGACCTGAGGTCATCCGCCTGCCTCAGCCTCCCACAGTGTTAGGATTACAGGCATGAGCCAGTGCACTCAGCCCAAGAATTTTCTTAACAGTAGTATCAATGACCATTAATCCTTCAACCTAAGCCTGCTCATTAATGTTGTCTTTAAGTGGGCTGCACTTTTAGAACATCTGGACATTCTGTAGGCTTAGTGGGAGATGTTTTGTATGGCCATAAATATTCTGCAATTATAACTGGTAGTCAGCTTAGACTGTGGCTATTTTCAGACCCAAGTATTAAGGCTGCAGGTTCCTTGTGGGTGCCTAGCTACCTGCTTTAAGATGGAATCACTCTAGCCATCTTTTATTAAACCAGAAGCCTGGTAAGCAGAGGTTACTTTAACAGTAAGCAAGAATGTGGGAATGTTTGCTGAGACAGGAGACACAAGACATGGTCAGGTCTTGGGGATTTAGGAGTTGGGTTCAAGGCACCCCTCAAGCTTTGGTAGTTATCTATGGAAGGTTGTTGCCTTGATTTTGACCTGGTAGGAAGGCAGACTTCAGATACTTTTCCCAGCTGGACTTTCTCCAGATGTTTGCCTCATCCTCTCACTGTAACCAACACTGACTCTGGTCAAAACCCGCAAGTGTGATCTGTGGACCAGCATCATCATCATGAAGCTGGCTAGAAATATGAAATCCTGGACACTGACTCAGACCTCCTGAGTCAGGATCTGCAATTTAACAAGGTTCCAGGTGATTTATGTATATAGGATGGCTTAAAAGGCTCTGCTTTAGATTCTAGAATCCAAAACATTTTCTCCAAAGACAATCAGGATATGGGGGAGAAGTTAGTTCCAGAGAAGACAGAGCGAGTCCAGGGTAGAAGGGATTCTTCTCTCCTGAGGGTCTATGGTCTCCTGTTTTTGAAAGTAGCAGTGGTATCTATCCCACCCACAGCCTAGAGGATGCACAGGGCAGTCTGGTACCCCCTTTTTTTTGCTTTTCTCCCCCAACACCCAGGAATGCTTACCCAGAGCATTGAAGGCGGCCAGCACCTCAAAAGAGATTCTCTGATCTTTTGTGAACACTTGGATGGTGAACCCATCATCAGACATCTGGATCTCAAAACTGTCTTTCATCCACTCTGTGAACAGACATAAGTTCAGCTTATGCCCAGTTTTGACGAGGTTGTCACGTTGGCTTCTCTTCTGATCCTGGAATTGTTTTAAGTCACCGAAGAAGAGGACGAGTGTACCATCGGAGTTGCCTCTTAAGACTGTTTCCCGGCCATAGGAGCCACCCTGCCAGTGACAAAGAAGCAGATGTGAGTCTCTAGACTCTGGGGTTACAGGGATCTCTAGCAGGCAGTGGTATTTTTCAACTCAAGCAAAAGCCAAAAATGTCACCATTGTCCTTTTTTTTTTTTTTTTTTTTTTTGGAGTCTTGCTCTGTTGCCCAGGCTGGAGTGCAATGGCACAATCTCAGGTCACTGCAACCTCCACCTCCCAGGTTCAAGCAATTCCCCTGCCTCAGGTTCCTGGTTATAGGTGTGCACCACCACACCTGGCTAATTTTTGTATTTTTAGTAGAGATGGGGTTTCACCATGTTGGTCAGGCTGGTCTCGAACTCCTGACCTCATGATCTGCCTGCCTCAGCCTCCCAAAGTGCTGGGATTACAGGCGTAAGCCACTGTACCCAGCTCATGGTCTTAAAATTGAGTGGCAGGTATCCATTTGTCCCACAAAGACCTGATTGGGATGCTCTTAGTAACACTTTTCATACTAGCCCCAAGCTGGAGGTGACTCAAATGGCCATTGACAATAGAAAGGGATTGAACTGCCCCACCTGCCACCACTGGCACCTGTGCTTACTGTCTCAGGGCCTGAGGATGAGATTGCCCCACCCAGCATTGTTGTTGGTGCCTGTGCACCTCATCTGGGGATCTGGGGATCAAATTGTCTCACCTGCTGCCAGCACCTGCATGCATCATGAAGAACCTGATGACAGGCTCACGCCACCTGCCACCAGCATCCACATGTGCTGCCTGGGGCCAGAAGATTGACCCATCCTGGTTCTTCTTTATTTCTGAATGATAGCTTTGATGGGTATAGTATTCTTGTCTGAAAGGTTTTTTTTTTTTTTTTTTTTTTTTCCCACTCTATCATCCTATTCTCTGCCGACCTGTAGGTTTCTGCTCAGAAATCTGCTATTAATCCCTTATATATGTGACTTTATACTTTTCTCTTGCTATTTTCAGAATTCTATCTTACTTTTTGACTTCCGACAGTTTGACTATAATATGCCTTGAAGAAGGCCTTTTTGGGTTAAATCTATTTGAGAATCTTTGAGCTTCCTGTATCTGAGCGTCTAAATCCCTTGCAAGACATGGGGAGTTCTCAGCAGCACAGGCACACATCCTCCAGAGGCCTAAGAATGGGCTCACTCTGCCTGCCACATATGGTGACCACATGTGTCTCCCAAGGGTCTGGAGACCAGTTTACTCAGCTTGCCATCACTGATGCCTGTGTACAACACTTGAGGGCCCGAGGGTTGACCTGCTGCTGCCACTTCCACACAGTCCCACCTGGGGACCAAGGACCTGCCTGTTCATTCCACTGCTGTTACCACTGGCACCTGAGCATGTCATCTTGAAGTCTGAAACCTGACCCACCTGGACTCACCAGCATTGGGACCCATATACACGCTTGGGACCTGAGGACCAGCATGCCTGGCACACTGTTGTCACCACTGGTGCTCAAAGACCAGCCTGCCTGATGTCCCTGTCCCCAGTACAGCCTTTCCACAGACTCCATTAACCATTACAACGTCAGCCATTGAAGAACTCACAGACGACATTGATGCAAAGGAAATCATATGGAGACTCCATTACTGTGCCCACACAGAATCAAAGCCAAAGTACTCCACTCAAACAACACTATAAACACATCTACAGGAAAACATCTTTTTATTTATGTATTTATTTTTTTATTTTTATTTTTTTTTAAGAGACAAGGTCTCGCTATGTTGCCCAGGCTGGAGTGCAGTGGCTATTCACAGGTGTGATCCCACTACTGATCAACATGGGAGTTTTGTCTTGCTCCGTTTCCAGCCTAGGCCGGTTCACCCCTCCTTAGGCAGCCTGGTTGTCCCCCGCTCGCAGGAGGTCACCATATTGATGCCGAACTTAGTGTGGACACCTGATCGGCATAGCACACTACAGCCCAGAACTCCTGGGCTCAAGCAATCCTCCCACTTCAGCCTCCCAAGTAGTTGGGACTACAGGCACGTGCCACCGCGCCCGGCTTTTCTTTTTCTTTTTTTTTTTTTTTGAGACGGAGTTTCGCTGTTGTTATCCAGACTGGAGTGCAATGGCACAATCTCGGCTCACTGCAACCTCCGCCTCCTGGGTTCAAGCAATTCTCCTGCCTCAGCCTCCCGAGTAGCTGGGACTACAGGTGTGCACCACCATGCCCTGCTAATTTTTGTATTTTTAGTAGAGACGGGGTTTCACCTTGTTGACCAGGATGGTCTCGATCTCTTGACCTCATGATCCACCCGCCTCGGCCTCCCAAAGTGCTGGGATTAAAGGCGTGAGGCTTTTTATTTATTTTTTTAGAGACAGGGTCTTGCTCTGTCACCTAGGCTGAACTGTAGTGGCACAATCATATCTCACTGTAACCTCAAACTCCTTACAAGCAATCTCCCTACCTTAGCCTCCTGAGTCACTGGGATTATAGGCATAAGCCACCATGCCCAGCAAAGGAAAATGTCTTTCCCTATGAAAGTCAATAAATAAAATTGGAGACTGTTACATTAGCTGTGCTGATATCAATATAAGGACACAGAAACCTGAAAAAGCAAGGAAACATGGCACCTCCAAAGGAACACAATAATTCTTTGGTGTAAATCCTACAGAAAATTATATCTATGCAATGGCTAAGAAAAATTCAAAACAATGATATTAAAGAACTTCAGTAAGACACATGAAAACATAGATAAACAATACAAAAAATCAGGAAAAATAATTTATGCTCTGAATGAGAAACTCAACAAAAAATAGATATTATTAAAAAGAACCAAACAGAATTCTTGAAACTGAAGAAATCAATGAATAAAATAAAAACACAACTCAGTGCTCTAACAATAGACTAGATCAAGGAGAATAATTTCTGAACTTGAAGGCAGGTCTTTTGAAATAACCCAGCCAGACAAAAGGAGAGAAAAAGAAATAAAAATGAGTGAAGAAAGTCTATGTGCCATATTGGTCATCATAAAGCCACCAAATATTTAAATTTGGAAAGATCTAGAAGAGATGGGCAAAGGCATAGAAAATCAATTTAATGAAGTAATAACTGAAAAATTCCCATGTCTTGCAAGAGATTTAAACACCCAGATACAGGAAGCTCAAAAATTCTCAAATAGATTCAACCCAAAAAGTACTTTCTCAAGTCATATAATAGTCAAACTGTCAAAAGTCAAAGAGAAAGACAGAATTCTGAAAATAGAAAGAGAAAAGTATAAAGTCACATACATATGGAAATCCCCCTCAGATTAATAGCAGATTTCAGAGCAGAAACCTTACAGGTCAAGAGAGAATAGGATGATATACTCAAAGTGCCAACAACAACAACAACAACAAAAAAACTCTTTCAGACAAAATTCTATACCCAGCAAAGCTATCCGTCAGAAAAGAAGAAAAAATAAAATCTTTCCTAGACATGCAAAAACAGAGGGAATTTATCACCACTAGACTAGTTCTAAAAAAAAAATGCTTAAGGGAGAATTATATCTGGAAGCAAAGGGATGATGTCTACCATTATGAAAACACACAAAAGTATAAAACTCACTGGTAGAGCAGATACACAAATGACAAAGAGAAAGGAGTCAAATGTTATCATTACAAAACCCCTACCAAATTGTAAAGGTAAGCAATAAAGAGAAATAAAAGAACAAAGGATGTTCAAAATAATCAAAACAAATAACAAAATGACAGGAGTAAGTTCTTACCTATCAATAACAACCCTGAATTAAACAACACTTTAAATTCTCCAGTTAAAAGATATAGACAAGCTGAATGGATAAAAAATAAGGTCCAACTATATCCTGCCTCCAAGAAACTCACTGCATCTGTGAAGGTACTTATAGACTGAATGTGAAGGAATGGAAAAAATATTCCATACAAATGGAAACCAAAAGTGTGCAGGAGTGGCCATACTTGTAATCAGACAAAATAGACTTTAAGCCAAAAACATAAAAAGAGACAAAGAAGGTCATTTTATAATTAATGATAAAGAGATCAATTCAGCCAGAGGATATAACTGTGTGTATATATAAGTATATATACACACTTACATATATATACACATATACATCTATATGCCTATGTATATACATAGGTATGAACACCCAACAGTGGAGCACTGAGATATGGAAAGCAAATATTAGAGCTAAGCACAGAGACAGACTTCCAATACAATAATAGTTGGGAACTTCACCTCCCTTTTGGTATAGGACAGATCATGTTGACAGAAAATCAACAAAGAAATACTGAACTTAGTCTGCATTATAGTCCAAATGAACCTAAATGAATATTTACGGATTATTTCATCAGCTACAGAATACACATTCTTATCGGCCCAGGGAATGTTCTCCAGGATAGACAATATCTTAGGCCATACAATAGGGCTCAAGAAATTTTTAAAAATTGAAATACTGTTAAGTATCTTCTCAGAACACAATGAAACAAGAGGAACCTTGGAAATTGTACAAATACATGAAAATTCAACAACATGCTCCTGGACAACCATTGGGCTGATGAAGAAATTAAAAAGGAAATCAAAATTTCTGGAAACAAATAAAAATGGAAATACAACATACCAAAACCTAAGGGCTATAGCAAAGTTTGAAGCAATAAATGCTTACATCAAAAAAGTAGAACAATTTCAAATAGCCTAACAGTTCATCTCAAGGAAATAGAAAAGCAAGAACAAGGCCGGGCATGGAGGCTCATGCCTGTAATCCCAGCACTTTGGGAGGTCGAGGCGGGTGATCACCTGAGGTCAGGAGTTTGAGACCAACCTGACCAACATGGTGAAACCCTGTCTTTACTAAAAATACAAAATTAGCCAAGTGTGGTGGTGCATGCCTGTAATCCCAACTACTTGGGAGGCTGAGGCAGGAGAATCACTTGAACCCAGGAGGTAGAGGTTGCAGTGAGCTGACATCGCATTATTGCACTCCAGCCTTGGCAACAAAAGTGAAGATATGCCTCAAAAACAAAAACAAAAAAGAAAAGCAAGAACAAACCAAACCTAGAATTAGTCAAAGGAAAAAAATGATACAGATCAGAACAGAACTAAACAAAATAGAGGCTAAAAATTACAAACAATTAATAAAATAAAAAGTTGGTTTCTTAAAAAGAAAAACAAAATGGATAAACCACTACTTAGACTAAGTAGACTGAAAAAAGAGAGAAGACCCAAGTAAATAAAATCAGGAATAGAAAAGGAAACATTAAAATTGATACCACAGAAATACAGGGGATCATTAGAGACTATTATGAACAATTATATGCGAACAAATTGGAGAGCCCAGAAGAAACGGATAAATTTCCGAACACATAAAACCGACTAAGATTGATCCAGGAAGAAACAGAAAACCTGAACAGACCAATAATGAGTGAGGAGACTGAATCATTAATAAAAAGTTCCTCAACAAAGAATAGCCCATGACCAGATGGCTTTACTGCTCAATTCTACCAAACTTATAAAGAAGAATTAAAACAAGTTCTTCTTAAATCATTCCAAAAAGATTGAAGAGGAGGGAATTATCCTAACCCCTTCTATGAAGTCAGCATTACCCTGATACCAAAACCAGAACAAAGGCAGAAAAGAAAACAACAGGCCAATATCTCTGATGAACATAGATACAAAAACCTTCAACAATATACTAGCAAACCAAATCCAATGACACATCAAAAAGGTAACACATGATCAAGTGGGATTTATCCCAGGGATACAAGGTTGGTTCAACATGTGCAAATCAACAAATGTTCAACATTTGTTGCACATCACATCAGCGGAATGAAGGACAAATCATATGATTATCCTAGCAGATGTAGAAGAATATTTGGTAAAATTCAATATCCCTTTATGCTAAAAACCCTCAACAAATTAGGCATGTAAAGAACATCATGCCAAATGGGGAAAGGCTCAAAACCTTTCCCTTATTCTGAAAGTTCTAGCTCGAGCAATCACACAAGAAAAAGAAATAAAAGGTATCCAAATAGGAAAAGCAAAAGTCAAATTGCCCCTCTTTGCAGACCACATGACCTTCTATACAGAAAAACCTAAAGACTCCACAAAGAAAACCTCTTAGAACTGATAAATTTGGTAAAGTTGCAGGATACAAAATAAAAATACCAAAATCAACATACCATACCAAAATACCAACATATTCTACACATCAATAATGAACTAGCTGAAAAAGAAATTAAGAAAGCAGTCTTTTTTATAATATTTAACAAAAAATACCTAGGAATAAATTTAACCAAGGAAGTGAACGATCTCTACAATGAAAATCACAAAACACTTATAAAAGAAACTGAAGATGACATAAGCAAATGGAAAGACATCCATCCTCATGGATTGGAAGAATTAATATTGTTAAAATAACCATACTACCCAAAGCAATCTACAGAATCCATGCAATCCCTATAAATACCAATGACATTTTTCACAGAAATAAAAAAATCCTAAAATTTGTATGGAACCACAGAAGATCTCAAATAGCCAAAAGAATGCTGAGGAAAAAGAACAAAGCTAGAGGCATCACACTACATGACTTTAAAATATACTACAAAGCTATAGTAACCAAAGCAGCATGGGATTGGTATAAAAGGAGACACACAGACCAGAGGAACGGAGTAGAGAACCCAAAAACAAATCCACGTATTTACAGCCAACTGATTGAGAAAGCATCAAGAACACACATTGGGGAAAGGATACTCTCTTCAATAAATGCTGTTGGAAAATTGGAAATCCATATGCAGAAGAATGAAACTAGGCCCCCATCTCTCCTCTTATTAAAAATTAACTCAATATGGATTAAAGAATTAAATGTAAGACCTGAAATGACATAATTAATGAATCAAGCAGAAGGGTAATGCTTCAGGATATTGGTCTATGCATAGATTTTGTGGCTAAGACTTCATAAGCACAGGCAACAAAAACAAAAATCGATATTTGGAATTATATTAAATGAAAAAGCTTCTGCACATCAAAGGAAACAACCAAGAGTGAAAAGAGAAGCTGCAGAATGGGAGAAAATATTTGCAAACTATTTTTCCAACAAGGGTTTAATATCCAGAATATACAAGGAGCTTGAACAACTCAATGTCTAAAAAAACAACCCATCTCATTAAAAAGCAGGCAAAGGATCTAAACAGACATTTCTCAAAAGAAGGCATACAAAATGGCCAATGGGTATATGAAAAAATGCTGAACATGACTAATCATCAGGGAAATGCAAATCAAAACCACAATGAGATATCATCTCACTGCAGTTAGAATAGCTATTATCAAAAAGACAAAAAATAGCAAGTGTCAGCAAGGATTTGGAGCAAAGGGAATCTTACGCACTGTTGGTGGGAATGTAAATTAGCACAGCCATATATGGAAAACAGCATGGAAATTTCTCAAAAAACGAAAAATGACACTGTCATTAGATCCAGCAATCCCACTACTAGGTATTTATCCAGAAAAGGGATCACTGTACCCTCGTGTTTATTGCAGCCCTATTCATAAAAGCCAAGATAGGGAATCAACCAAAGGATCCATCAGCGGATGAATGCGTAAAGAAAATGTGATATAGACACGCAATGGAATACTACTCAGACACAAAAAAATGGAATGCTGCATTTGCAGCAACGTGGATGGAACTAGAGGTTATTATGTTAAATGAACTAAGTCAGGCATAGAAAGGCAAATACTGCATGTGATTAATCATAAGTGAAAGTTTAAAAAAGTTGATCTCATGGAGGTAGAGAGTAGAACCATAGTTACCAGAGGCTGGGAAGTGGAGGAGGGAATGAAGAGAAGATTTTTAATGGATACAAACATACAGTTAGATAGAAGAGATAAATTCTAGTGTTTGATAGCACAAATGGGGTGACTACAGTTAACAGTAATTTATTGTATATTTCAAAATAGCTAGAAGAGAAAATCTGAACTGTTCTCAGCACAAAGAAATGATAAATGTTTGAGGTGATGGATATCCTAAACACCCTGACTGGATCATTTCACAGTGTATCCATGTGCCCAAATACCACATGTACCCCACATAAATCTGTACAACTGTGTAAAAATAAAAAAAAAAAAACAGTAGAATGAACAAATGTGGTATATTCACACAATGGAATTCACGCAACAATGAAAGCAATAAACAACTGCACTCCACAACATAAATTTCATAAACATCATGGGTCAAAGAAAGCAGGCAGTAGAGCACACAGAGCACAGGATGCCGTTTATATAGGGTCCCCATGCATCCTGGTTTACATTCCCAGTTTTTGTTCCAAAAGTCCCACATCCCAGGAAACACCTCAATCCTGGACAAATTTACATATTTGTAAAAAGTTTAAAAACAGGCAAAACGCATCTTTGAAGTCAGGAGACTGCTTGGCTGGGTTTGGATTGGATTGGATTGGGGGCCCAGGGCTGTTGGGGGTGCTGAGAATGTTTTGTTTCTGGATCTGGGTGGGGGTTACACAGTTACATTGTTTGCGGCTACCTATCAAGCTGGGCACTTGGATCGGGGCACTTTTTCTATGTTTTACTTCAGTGAGGAAAAATGTTTGCAGGTTGGTGTAGTGGTTAAACGTGCATGCCCTCAAGCCAATTACCGAGGCTTAAAATCCCAGTTCTGACAATAGCTATTAGCCAAACTCGCCTTAGCTTCCTGACCTGGGCCAGGACTGGGGACACCTGTGTCCAGATTTCCTCAATGCGGCACTAGTGGGTGCCTGCAAAGGGTAGAGACCAAAAAGCATCGCAGCTGCAGAGGAGGGACACCGGCTGCACTGGGGGGTAAGAGGGTGCTATTGGGGTATCAGGGCTCCCACGCCTCAATTCTAGGGTCCTGGCACCTCCCCAATCCCCCCTCCTCCCCAGAGGTCCAGAATTTTCAGCCTCAGTCCTGAGATTTGTGTCCACAAAACCAAATATTTCTAACTGCTGAAAGCCACTTCTTGCTACAGAGAAACCACAGGGCAACCCGGGTAGTTTGACCAAAGTTCTCTAGTCTCCCTAAGTTTACTCCTCTGTACTGTGAAGAGGATAGAAGAAAATCGCAGCGAGTGATCACAGTGAATTCACTGAGTGCTATGTACCAGTCTTTCGCTAAGAACATGAGGTGCTCAAGCCTGACAATACTCTGAAGTGGGTACTGCGCCTCTCCCCATTTTACAGATTCAGAGACTAAGGCACAGAGAGGTTAAGTAGCCTGCCTAATGTCACACAGCCCTGGAGCGAGAGCCTGCTCCAGAGCCTGAGACTCCCACACCGCATCACACCCATGTGTGGACCTCGCACATAATAGGCACTCAGCACCCAGTGGCTCGGCCTTGCTGTGGCTGTGGAATCTCCTGCCTCCCAGAGCCCCAACCTCAGCCCTGGACTCACGATGGCCACTCCCTGCACCAGGGGGAACTGCTTGGGATCCTGCAGGGCTTCACAGATGGTGGTCACCAACCCGTCGATTAGCATCTGACACGCTTCATAGGGCTTCAGGTGTTCGTGGATAAACAAATCCAGCTTCTGAGCAGGCACTGAGGACAGCTGCGACTCCCCATTTCCCATGGCTCCCAGCTGGCTGCCGACGAGACGGTGAATGGCGGGATGAGAGGCAGAGGACTTCTTGCTGCTGCCGGGAGCCAGGAAACTGAAACTGACTTCTAGAGGCCTCTCCCCACCCCCTGCAGTGAGCTTACCAACTCCTGCATCCGGAGCAGGGAAACCAAAACTCAGTCAAGCTCAGAGCCTCTGCCCCACCCATTACAGTGAGATTTACCGACGCTAGCACCAAAACTAACTCAGGCTCAGAGGCTTTCCCTGTCCCCTGCTGCGTGGTGATCAGCCCTTCAGGGGCTCCCCAAAACTTGAGGTTAACCACACAGACTCTAGAACCCCATTGTGAGGGCTTCATACCTGCTAGACATCTGTCCTTGAGCACGTCGCCTGCCCTCTTTGTGCCTCAATTTCCCCATCTGTAAGCTGGAGAAAAATCGCAGCTCTCTCATAGGATTAGCTTGATTAAATAATACCTGCAAAGTGCTTAGAAGCAAGAGGCAGAGGTCATCTTTTGAGGCTCTGTCCCTTTCTCTCTGTTCAGGGGCCAGGGAACTCAGATTCAGTGAGAGCAGCAGAGAGGAGAAAGAGACCCAGAGAGGAAACTGACTTGCTAAGGGACACACAGCAAAGCAGGGACCTAGCTGGACTCAGGTTTTGGTCTGCTTCCAGGTAAATACAGGCCCCAGGGTGGTCAGTGGGTGGGAACCTCTGTGAGTCCAGTTTCTCAGCACACTTGTGGACAGCTGCAGGACCGCATGAGACACTTGGCCGGCTCCGCAAGGGCAAGAAAACACGCCCCAAGTGCATGAGCCAGAAAGGAGACAGACATGCAATTCCTACACCCAGAGCTGTGAAAACAAAACTCACAGAGGACTTTCATCCAGTTGCCTTGTCCCAGCAATAATAATTCACAGAGAAGGCAAAAATCCCTAAGATGTAAGGGGAACCAGGGCCCTTCCATGCTGGGATGGTTAATTTTATGTGTCAATTTGGCTGAGCCCAGGAACGCAGATATTTGGTTAAACATTATCCTAGATCTTTCTGTGAAGGTTTTTTTTTCTTTTTCTTTTTTTTTTTGAGATGGAATCTTGCTCTGTCGTTCAGGCTGGAGTGCAATGATGCAATCTTGGCTTACTGCTACCTCTGCCTCCCAGGTTCAAGCAATTCTCTGCCTCAGCCTCCTGAATAGCTGGGATTACAGGCACCCACCACCACACCTGGCGAATTTTTGTATTTTTAGTAGAGATGGAGTTTCACCATGTTGGCTAGGCTGGTCTTGAACTCTTGACCTCATGATCCACTTGCCTTGGCCTCCCAAAGTGCTGGGATTACAGGCATAAGCCACCGCGCCCGGCCCTGTGAAGGTATTTTTAAAGATGAGATTAACATTTACATTGGTGGACTTTTTTTGAGTAAAGTGAATTATCATCTTTAGTGGGCCTCATTCCAGCAGTTGAAGGCCTTAATAGAATAAAGACTGAGCTCCCCTCAAGGAAGAGAGGGCTCTGCTGCAGACTCCTTCCTGGCGCTCCCACCTGCCAGCCTCCACAATCACATGAGCCAGTTCATTAAAATGTATATCTCAACATAAATATCCATACACTGTTGGTTCTGGAAAACCTTTATTAATGCACATACTCATGAAGGTCCTTCCCTGCCCTTACTCACCTTTACTGCAACACTGGGAGGTAGGCAGGCTGGGCAGGAGTAGTCTTCAGGCTCCTTTTTCAGATGAGAACCTGGAGGCTCAGAGAGGTGGGAACATTTGCCCATGATCACACAGCTAGCACAGTGTTAGGCTAGGTTCTAACACTATATAGAAAGTAAAAATTCCTCTTCAAAATGTCCCTTCTTGTTAAAGAATAATAACAACAGATATTGGGAATAATAGTCTCTTTTAAAGACTAATTGTCTTCAAAGCCTTCTTGCTTTTTGCTAGTAACTGTTTGTTAAGCCCTATGCCATGCAGCTGTTAGACATAAAGGAATAAGTACATTCTATGTCCTTGTACATTAATCAATTATTTACGTGATTACTTTTCTAAGTCCTTTTGCAGGCCACTTCCTCTCCCTTCCTTATTTGGACTTCCTTTTTTCCTTTTGTTCTCCATTGCTTTTATCTATTTAAGAAAGTTTTAAGTTGTTAGCCAGTCGAGGTTTAGATTGTGAGGTCTGGCTCCAACCAACAGAGACCAGACACCGCAGTGAAGACCCAATGTGTAAATAATAAATATTCCTGCCTGTTCCTTTGTTCAGTGTGTTCTCATGGCAAGATTGCTGACGAAGAGCACCCTGGAGTAGACTGGAATGGTCATAGCTCACTGCAGCCTTACCCTCCCAAGCTCAAGCAATCTTTCCACTTCAGCCTCCTGAGTAGCCGAGACTATAGGCATGGACCACCATGCCTGGTTAAATTTTAAAATTTTTTTGGTAGAAACAGGAGTTACTATGTCGGCATGTTGCCCAGGCTGGTCTTGAACTCCTGGCCTCAAGCGATCCTCCTACCTCAGCCACTCACAGTGCTGGGATTATAGGCGTATTTTTATTCCTGAACCATTTGAGTGCATGTTGCATGCTGCATGTTTTATATCCCTTTATTCCTAAATGTTTCAACCTATATCTCCTAAGAATAAGAATATTGTGTTACAGAAGCACAGAACAATGGACCAATTCAGAATTTTAGCATTGATACAATGTCATCATCTCTTATAACAGATATAATAAATATATGTATTTATTATATAAACATATAAATGTATATAATTTATGTAACATATACAATAAATGTATATATTTATTATGTAAATATATATTTTGAGACAGGGTCTCACTGTCACCCCAGCTGGAGTATAGTGGCACAATCTCAGCTCACTGTAGCCTCAGCCTCTCAGGCTCAAGTGATCCTCCTCCTGTCTCAGCCTCCTGAGTAGGTGGGATTACAGGCACACACCACCATGTCTGGCTAATTTTTGTATTTTTTGTACAGGTATGGTGTTGCCATGTGGCCCAGGCTGGTCTCGAACTCCTGACCTCAACCAATTTGCCTGCCTCAGCCTCCCAAAGTGGTAAGATTACAGGCATAAGCCACTGAGCCACGTCATAAATATATTCTTATACCGAAAATTTTTACCAATTATTCCAATACTCTTCTTTATAGCACTCCCCCGACACACACACACAATATCTAGGCTCAAACGTGACATTTAGCTGTCATATGTGACATGTAGGGAACCAGCTCCACATCACACCCTCGGGTACCCTGATTTCGGTGGTGACAAAGGAATGAGAAAAAGACAGATTAAGAGAGAAAGTGGGACAGGGGGCCATCACTCATTACTGGAGGAGACAGTGAAGGCCCCGAGCTCTGATCATCCACACTATTTATTGATTACAATGACTCTGACCTATAGGGTAGGGGTGGAGTAATGATGGGGAGAGGGTGATGGTGGAGGGAATCAATGAGCTGGAAGAGAATTAGTGAGCGGGAACTGGCGTGTCATCCTAAGGATTGATAACAGTGGCAGTCTGGGAGTTTCACAAAACAAGAACATGTGTTATCTTTAGCTTATTATCTATGTGTAGCTGGTGGAACATGGACCTTACAAGGAGTCTACAAGTCTGGCCACCTCCTAGTGCTACGAAGCAGTTTTACGTCCTTGAGCACAATGTTTATGGTAACAGAGCCAAGGTCACCCTGCACCGGAACATGAGGATGGAGAGGCCTTCCTCCTCAGAGGACTCCTTCGGGCTTCCGCAGCTTGCTGTTCCTTGTTTGTGTGTTACTCACAACCAGTTTATGTAGGCACTCTGTAAGTCCTTTCTCTTTTGCTGCCTTTCCCAGCAGTGACAGACGTGTTTCCTGGGAAGTCCACAGGAAAGCAATGGTGCTGTTTTTACTCGGGGAGGTTCCCTCAGTGTTCATTCTTGAGGTATTTTGATGGTACAAGTTGAGTAGTTCCTTGTTGTGGTCCATCTAGTCTGTCCCTATGAAAGCCAAGATTTAAGGGTCATCTCCATGTTCTGCAGCCCAGACCCTCCTGGCCAATCCTGGGCCCTGCCGCTCATGGTGAGCACTGCGTCCCCTGATGGGAGCTGTCTCCTGGCCTCTCTTACTCCACGGTTAAACCATCCCCTTTGCTGTCGGTGAGCCTAGCTCCCAAAGGGCCTTGCCCATCATCCTGTGATGGCATCTCCCACACAGGAGGCTCTCTGAGCGTCTCTGCAACGCTAGCTGGTGTCCTCTTCCTGGTCCATTCCTCGTGGACTTGGTAAAGGGGAATCTTGGCCTTTCCATGGAAAAGCATCGCCCCTGGCTCCCCGGGCCTTATGCAGCCTACCCAAGCATTCCCTCTTCCCTGACCTTTCATCCCATCTACCACCATCTCCCTTGGCAATTCTGGCATTTGGATCTCACTTAGCAGGGCCTACTACTTTTTCCACCCTTCTAGGAGCCCTCCTGCAGCAAGTTTACACCTTCTCCTGGAGTCCTTCCCAGATTGTGCAGCCCTGAACTCCCAAAGGACTTCCAAGTCAATAAACCCTTTCTTACCTGACCTCACACTGCAGCCCCTTGATGGAGCACCCTCAAGGTCTGCTCCTGCACGTGCTCACCCGACTTCTGCTGGTCACACTGGCTCGGCCCTCCAGCTGCTTTGGGAGATAGGCCCTTCCCTCCCCTATGAGGCTTGTCACATCCCAGGCTGGTTTATGCTGGAACTTAAGCCTAGTCCTAGCCCTTGTGGGCAGGAGAGGAGGTGGGCACAGGGACAAACGTCTTGTGGATGAGAGGTCTCTGCAGGGTTTCCAAGCAAGAGACGAGGTGCTAGCTGTTAACAGGGAGGGATAGATGGGTCACTTTTACAGCTCTTAGGGGTCAGGGGAATCCGGGGATTCAAGATTTTCAGTGGGATCGGGGTGGTAGCTCTTGCCTATAATCCCAGCACTTTGGGAGGCTGAGATGGGCAGATCACTTGAGGTCAGGAGTTCAAGACCAGCCTGGCCAACATGGTGAAACCCCACCTCCACTAAAAATACAAAAATCAGCCAGGCGTGGTGGCATGTGCCTGTAGTTCCAGCTACCTGGGAAGCAGAGGCAGGAGATTCGCTTGAATGCGGAAAATGGAGGTTGCAGTGAGCCAAGGGTGTGCCACTGCACTCCATCCTGGGCAACAGAGCAAGACTCTGTCTCAAAAAAAAAAGATTCTCAGTGGCGTCAGCCTG